GCGCAGCCGTAGACGCAATACTCGGTCTAAGTCGTATTCACGATCAAGATCCCACTCGCATAGTCCCAATGGTGGACGGCATCGCTCTGGCTTTAGGAGTCGCGAAAATCTTCGCGGATTTGGTCGTGGTCGTGGCGGAGCACGCTTCAGTTTTCGAAATCAGCAATTCCAGCATAGACCCTACCAGCAGTCGCACCATCAAAGCCAATACCAACAGCAGTACCACCACCACCATCATCAGACGCAGACGCAGAGCCAATATCCACTGCAGCCGGTTTCTCAGCGGCCTAAGCGACGCGAGCTGCCGCGCTACGATGTACGCAACGTTGTCAGCGCCTCCCGCCACCACCAGAAGGATCGCTATGGTCGGGACGCCACCCGATCTGCCAGGAGTCGATCCAATAGCTGCAATCGCCGACAGCACTCGCGTAGCTATTCACGAAGTAGCTCACGAACACGCACGCGCACAGTATCGCCGAAGCGGTTTCGCAGTTTTAGTATTTCGCCGTCGCCACCCTTGGGCATGGCGCGGCATCAGCATGAGCAGGACATCCGTCGCAGATCAGTGTCACCGAGCAGAAGGCGCTTCGAGCGGTCGCCGTCTAATTCGCAGCCGCTGCAAGCAACGCACCGCAACAGTCCGCTGCAGCGGAGCAACAGCACAATGTCGTTGCGCTCCCGCTCTAATACGCCGGCGCGGATGAACGGCAACCGTAATGTGCAAGGCGGAGCGAAGAATTCACCGGGCTATTCGCCGCGCTACACGCCACGGCTCAGTCGCAGCCTATCAAAGAGTCCAAGGAAGAAGAAGAAAAAGAAGAGTGATAAGAAAAAGAAGGGCAAGAAACGACCCGCCAGCAGCAGTCCAGTGGGTCGACAGCGTCGCATATCGCGGCAACGCGATCCGTTCGACGATGCCGACGATTTCCTTGCGCCCCAGTTGGGCAAAAAGTCCAAAAAATCGTCAACGGGACTGTCGGCAATGCACTGGTCCCCATCTCCTACACCCAGCCTGTCTGCCGAGCATCTGAACTTTATGCACGATAGTGGGGCTGGATTAGGTGGTGAGAAACCTGCTTCGTGGACGCCTCCGCTGGCGTCTCCACAAGCGAGTGGAACGCACTATGCTGGCAATCCCCACCTCAGCATGACGCCAGTAATGGGGAAGAAAGTGAAGACCAAGCGGGACAAGACCAAGAAGAAGAAGAAACCGCTGGAAAAGCAGCGCAAGGAGAAGAAGCGCAAGCGCCATACCATGACACCTGAACCACTGCCCTCCAAGGAGGTGTTCGCCTCGGGCAACAATATTCTGGTCAGCGTTAGCTTCAACAAGGAAGCCAGCAGTACTCTGGCAGGCTCAGCACAGCAGCAAACTGTAGTCACATTGCCGCCCACTAGGGAAGAGTTCCTCGGAAGCCGACGCATGTCCACAGACAGGATAACCAACAGCAGTAGTGGCATAACGAGCAAGAAGGCCAAGCGCAAGCGGAAGAAACTGGATGCCAAACCTGTGGCTATCATCGACCTGGAGCGCTCACCGTTCCAAGTTCACCAGGAGCCTGCCGATGTCATTGTGCTCACCGACAGCGAGGATGCAAATGATAGCCAAGCTCTGCGCCGCGACCGGCGTCGTAGTAGCGTTGCCTCCGCAACCGATCACAGCATGATGCGAGAGAATGGACAGCGTGAAAAGACGCCGTCGACATGCTTGGAGACCATTTTGGAAGCCTCATACGATAATCTGCCGCAGACGACTGGCCCGAAGACACCACCTGAGCCGCATCTAGTGAAGTTCAATTTACCCGCCAAAAAGCAACACAAAGTGCGTAACAACCCGCTGCATGACGATGCCGACGATATACACTCCGCGGACGAGCTGGACACAGTCTGCTCGATGCGTGGGCCTATTGACGACGAGCCGCAACAGCCACACGCCAACGAGGGCATGATTTCAGCGCAAAAGATTGGTCCGAATACGCCACCTGAGTCGGGGCCGTGCTCTCCCGATGCCTATGATCCGTTCGAGCCGACGAAGTCACCCTCACTATCACCGCGCTCCCCAACACCCACTCCTGCCCAGAATCTAGAGCCAATGACGTTGCAGGCTTCCACTGGCGGCAGCGGAAGCGTTTGCGGCGGAGGGGAGAAAATTGAATCGTGCAGTCAAAAGCACAACAGCCACAATGAGGACATGGCGGACATTAACATAGGCACGCCGACCCTATCGAATGCTAGCAATCCAACCTCGCAAGCAAATACGAGTGCCAGCATTAATCCAGTCGACCTGGTCATGGCGCTTATGAATAAGCCAAGCAACAGCATGCAACAGGAGATGGCCAACAAGTCCTGCGACGTTTCGTCGGCATCCTACCTGAACAGCACCACAATGAGCACCTCGATGGCAGTGTCTAGTGCCGAAGAGAAGCTTGCCGATAACACAATCACAGTCCTGTCGAATGTCCTGCTCACAAGCAGCACCGTCGTGTCCTCATCGCAGCACATACCTGTTATTTCTAGTCCGCCGTCGTCACTAGGGAGGAAGCTAGGCACCCTGCCCAAAGCGGGCGGCAGCGCGGCTAGCACCAACAGTGGTGCAGCGAACCTGCCATCGGGCAGTGGCACAATACGCAACGGCAACACAGGAGGTGGAGGAGGCATGACCAATGTGCTGGATGACTCTTTCAACATGGAAATCGAGAGTCCATACTCTCCGGGCTCGGCAGACTACGAGGATCTATTCGAGCCCCCGCCAGAAGGCGGCAACGCCATCGGCTCCAATCGACGCTCAAAGAACGCCGCCGCAGGAAACAAAGCGGAGATGTTTGACAATCTCTTTGGAAGCAGCTCCCCCGTGGGCCAGCATCGAATGTCGTCTCGGTACAATAATGCGAGCGGAAGGAAACAACAACGTGCAAATAACAAAAATGAACGCAAATCAAAAGTCAAAGGTGGGTTCACACTATATAATATGTCTGTTATCGATAATAACATATGTTATTATAATATGTTATTAGCAGACCAAGATTAATTTTATGTGTGCTCTATTAAAGGACATAAACCCTTTCGTCGGTTTCATATATTTCCAATGTCCAGATACTTTATACGTTAACGGCTTAAGCCAAATATATTTAGCTTTTAGACTATCTTTAAAATATAAGAATTATGACGATGCTTGCGTGGAATCAGCTAGAAAACAGTTTGTCTTTACTTTACATTAGATTTTTGTGATTTGATTAGAGAATAGCATAGATTTCCTAGCTTTTCCTTGATTATTATATGATTGAAGGGAATTTAGCTTATGCTAAAATAATATTTAAAGAAATTTTGATTTGTTGCCATTTTCAAACAATTATTTCAAGCGATTATCCAGTAGGATTTTATTTATTACAAATTGATTTCTTTTGGTTTCAGGAAATAAAGCGGTTGAGGAGCATGGAAAAGTGTATGACGATGTACCCAGTTCCGCTGTCGACTTACAAGTCAAGGATAGGGTAAGTGAAGATTATAATTATGAAATGATGAAATGAAACTAGTTGAACAATAATTTGCAGTTTATACGTAAGCTAAACCGCCAGGAACGTGTTGTTGAGGAGGTCAAATTGGTATTGAAACCCCACTTCAACAAGAAAGTAATCACAAAAGAAGATTACAAGGATATCATGCGACGCGCAGTACCAAAAGTATGTGGATAATGCAAATCAATGATATACAAGAAATTGACAACAATGTAATAATATTATTGTAAACATTTCTAGATCTGTCACAGTCGCTCTGGTGAAATCAATCCCCATAAAATCAAAAACTTGATTGATGCATATGTAAAGAAATTCCGCGCTAAGCACAAGAAGTTGAGTCTGCTAAATACCGGGCAAGTAAGCAGCGCTGTCAAGTGTGCTGCCTACTTAAAAAAGCTATAAGCAAATGTAGGGAGAGGAACTGGTATGGATTGTCGATTAAATTGGCAAATGGTTCGTTTACTTTAACTGAATATGATTTGTCTTCGCAGCGTTTTCTTCACAAACCATAAAATTATGTTCAGCGGCCGCATGCATTCCTACGCCTTCATTAATCACAATCGCCGCCCGTAAGCGCAAATACATAAATTGTCATTGCTATTGAACTTTAGTTGTTAAGTCAATTTTAGGTTATACCACGAATGATTTTAGAGATTAAGCCAATGCAGAAGTGAAAATATATATTAAGCAGTAAACTCGTCTACTTTTTGTGTTTTTGATTGCACCAGACTCACAGACTCACTTAAATAAAACAAATTTGATTGATTAATTTTTTTATTCATATGACTTTATAATGAGTAATACTGCTTTGCTTTAACAAAAGCTGTAAGTAAATCAAAGAAAGCAGACGGGTAAAACAAAAATGTTTTATCCTCCCTCTCTTATGAGTTAATTTATTAAATTTATATATGTTATTAAATTTCGGGATCATTAAGATAGACTCCCAATTATATTGAATTAAATTAGAGCTAGTTATTAAATGCAAATTCTCTATTCAGGCAGATATAGGCGTATTTTATTTGCAACAGGAAAATTATATGTATGTATATTATTGAAGAAACAAATGTAATTGTATATTCAGCGAAACATAATTGTATATTGTATTTTGAGTTAATCTGTAATCAAATACCTAACTTTGATTAGTTTACCAATCATATTTTTAAATAAAGAGTGCATAACTAACGTAACGTCAAAACAATAGAAATCATTGAATTGTGTACATATTCTCATTAACTATCTTCAAAATACCAAAAATGATCGGTTATGTTTTAGCCTCAAATGATAATAAAATCTGAAAACATTGATTCTGTCGCTTCTGTTCAATCAAAAATAAATAATATCCGCTGAGTTTCAAAGATAAATATGACTGTTCAATATGCTGGGAATCGATATGAATAAATAATATTCGGCTATAGTGTATGTATGCGTATAAGATTAGATAAGCGCTGATTCTGGTCATAAGGATCGCGTTGTGCGATTATATTATATGGTCGTCTGGAAGTTTTACCAAAATCCAGATGATTTTCCGCCAGGCGGATTCTTTACTTTAATGCAAGAACGAACGCCGGATTTGTCCAGCTCCTCTGAAAGAAGAAATATAGCCGAATAAAATGAAATAAATCCATTATATTTGGGCCAACTCACCGCTAATCGAAAATGAGGACTCCTGCATGTCCCTTCTGCCGTCCACGTGACCACGCACCGAAGGTGTGCTGCAAGGGGAGTGTCCTGTCATAATTGGCAGATTCTCAGCGATCAGAGCAGACATTGTCTTTTCTTCTGGAATTAGAATATCTAACTCAGCAAACTTTTTGGCCAGATTGCCATTTTGATTTTCTTCGGGATGCTCTTCAGGCACGTTCACTTTCTCCTTAACAATGTCATAAACATATGGCGGACGCACCGCCATCGGTATAAAACGACCATGTCCTTCAGCAACGCGAACTGCTCCGTTCTCGGCGCAAACTCGACCGCGCACCAACACATATTCAGCGACTCCATGTACAGTCATGCCCTCAAAAATATTATAATCACAAGCATGGTAATGGCTGTCTTTGGAAATGGTTCGTGTACCCTGTGGATTCCATATGACGATGTCTGCATCCGAACCAATAGCTACGAAAATAATCAAGTCAAATGAGTATATCTTTGCATACATACATGAATCTGTACATAGATGTATATCTGGAGCTACCTACCAATACGCCCTTTTTGTGGATAAATATTAAAGATTTTTGCAGCATTAGTGCTGGTGACAGCGACAAATCTACAGGGATCGAGAACGCCCTGATGCACTCCTTTCTCCCACACCACCGACATTCGATCCTCCACCCCATTGACGCCATTCGGGATTTTAGTGAAGTCGGATAAGCCAAGTTCCTTTTGCTTTTTATTGAAGGTACAGTTGTCACTGCCTGTTACCTGTAGATCATCACTGTCAAATAGGAAACGTTAATTACTTGGCGATAGATTATATCGATGAACTTACTATGCCAAGGATTTCATCAGCTGCCTTGGAGTTTCGGCAGACATGCGTATAGGCGGACTGGTAATATAATAAACCCGTTCCGCTTTGCCAACGCTGCTCATACTGCGGCCTATGGAGCTGGCGAGAGTTTCCCCGAACACTGAATAGCCGCTGCGGCGGGCGCGTCCAATGAGTTCAGCGGAGGACTTGCTTGTGACCCCAGCGACGTATAGGGGTGTTTTCATCTAGGCAGATTTTAATTTATATATAGAATAGTTAATAAATGTCAATTGGTAATATTAAGAATTTATTTTGCAATGGGGTTGTTTTCAAGTAGTATGAGATCAAATACAGTATATGGGCGTTAAGTCTGTTCGACAATCCAGTATCTATATTACTTACTTCGCCAGAAGCTTGATCAGGAACGCGATCGTCTTCGTATAGTTACTGGACCCAAGGATTGGTCTAGCCTAGAGCCAGTTACTTGATATTAGTGCTGGCACCGATTCTCGATTCTCGAGTCTCTCGAATCGTGTGTCACAAGAGTACATTTAGCAGACAATCAAACTTTATATATTTTGCGAAAGTGCAGCAACATCAGGGGTTATGTTATTGGAGTTATATCAAGTGCCACAAACCGCATACATTCTTATTTATGTACAAGGGTGCATCATACATAATGGAAATAATAATAAATTAAAAAAGTAAATCATCAATTAATGAAATATATTTATGTACATTATATTGTATATTGTAACATTTCCCAAGATCCACGAGCATTTAATTTATACAACTTTCATCTAAATTTATTTGGTCTTTCTTCGTCAGAGAAACATTTTAAAAATACTCACCTGGTGGGCTAAAATGCATGCGCGGTGTACAGCCTCGGCTTCAACTTCCTCTTGGCGCGAAAGCTCGTGTGCCTCAGGGCCAGAGTTACCATCGGCTAACAGGCTCTTTGTGTTCTTGGCTATTATATCACCATTCTCGGCATGAACCTTATGAAAAATAATACTAATAGAAGTCGTACACTGAGCTGAGGCCAACAAGTAAAAGTTACCAATGCAATTCCATTAAGAAATCGAATTCTCTCGAAAATGTCCAAGAGTTCAGCATCGCCTAACATGTAGAGACCTTTGTAGGCCATATACATTTTAAAGGAATTCACTCCCAGCTCTTTGCACAGAATACCGATCTCCTCGGAAACCGATTTCGACCACCAAGTTATGCCCACGTGCAGGGCATAGTCACAACAGACCTTCGGGTCCGCCCAGGCGCGCCAGTTGTCATAGGCTTCCACCAGAGACTCGTGTTTTTTGGGCAGAACACAATCAACTAATGTCGGTAAAATTGTTATTATTATTAACTATTAACTAGAACAAAGCAATTAATTATGAAGTGGTGCCTACTTATCATCGTTGTGCCACCAGCCACAGCCGCTTTGGTTCCGCGGTAAAAGCTGCCCAAAATAAATTAGATTAAAATTAAGTTTTAAGGAATTTACGAGGTAAATACATACTCGTCCACGGATACATGATCACCCATGGGACATTGAAAATGTGTGTGAGGATCAATGCCTCCCGGAATAATCATTCGTCCGGCAGCATCGATAACGCGCACACCTCCGGGAATCGTTATGTCGGAAGCGTTCCCAACAAATCTGCAGAGGTCCAATAAAGTTCATTATAGCATACATTTCTTAAAAGATTTATTTTAGTTAATACTTAATGACTCCATCCTCGATGTAGACGTCCGCCTTGAAACTTTTGTCATGATTGACGATTTGACCGTTTTTAATATAAATACGATTTTGAGCACTTTGTAAGTGTATGGGCACTTTCTTAACAGGCTTTGGGCTGCCGGACATGATTCTGGAATTAAAGCATTGCAAAATGTCATCATATGGGATTTCAATTCGTGCACATACATATGTATGTATGTACATACATATGTACGTATGAGCATATCAATGCGCTCAAACTAGTTAGTTCAATCGAGTACTATGTTTGGGTAATGGGAGCACGCGAGCGAGCATTGACCTTTATGTGTTTTCTTGATGTTGGTTATGCTTTCTGCGTTTTGTGAGAAAAAAAAAAAAATAGAAAACATATTGTAGCGAATCGCGATACATCATGCCCATTCAAATGTTACAGAAAAAGCATATACGATATACATATACTATATGTATACTTAAGTGATTAAAGCCATATATGTAAATATTTGATAAAGTACAATGATATATACATACATATGACAGGCAAAACGATTTATTCAAATAATTGAGTCATCGTCGTCATCATCATCATCAACATTGGCATTCTGTCATTTAGCATATAAATTGTTTTAATGGACCCCAATACCAACACCCCTTTTACTGCAAAGGCAAAGTACGTACATGAGTACCCACATACATACATACAAGTCTACTAACGGTAATATAGTTTTCTGTATTTGTTGAATCGATAAAATAGCCCGCTTACAACATTTTAATATGCACAACGCAGACTCAATTCACGCGCATGGAGATAAGAATATAAATATCTATGTATGTGTTACTTCTGTATATATCACTATTCATATACATTGTATATACATATGTATGTAAAAATTTAGTTAATAACACTAAAACCGTATATGTACATACACTAATATTAAAATGCAAACAGCTCGGTTAATAACTTCGTTTACCAATTTATAATTTACTTTGCCGATAATACTATAAAATTAGCAATATAAGTAAATATATTTAATTACCAATTTAATTCAATATTTTATGATACGTGACCGTTGAATCTCCAAGAAATTTAATGTTGAAAACCAACAAGTACACACCCAATTTTGCAGAAAAAATCTGATGAACTCACTCATCGATTATTGCTATCGATGTTTCGATGGTTTCGGTGTGCCCGATTTTTTAAAAGAAAATTTGCGTTTCTTTCAATTTATCCCACATTATGTATACATTCAAAAAAAAAAAAAAAAAAAAAAAAAAAAAAAAAAACATGTGCAAATGGCCTTATAGTATACAAAGATAATTATAGTGTTATGAGTCGAAATATATACAAAATAATATAATATGTATATCACACTAAAATAAAACTATTTTTATATAAAATCAATTATCATAAAMTAAATAAATGTTTACATGAAATTGGAAAGTAGGCGGCTGATTTGAAATTCAAATAGACAAGGTTATTTGAATTTGGAATTCACTTTGATATCAAATTGTTTATCATACTATCTTCATTCAAAATAATATACTATATTAATTGTATATGAATAAGTGACCTGATGTAGAATTTAAGCCAAACTTGGCATTTTACATATTTATTTAATTTTATTGGCCATTTACCTGAAAACTCTTTAAATTTCCCACCAAAAATATGCATCAAATATTGTAAGATGTTTCCTATAAAGATGTTTGTATTATAGCTTCAATATTTTCGAGCTTACTTAAGTACTCCAGGTTGACATATTGATTCGGTCCAGTTCAGTCACAAAGTTGGTTTACACGTTGAATTAGACTGGGCTTATCAGAGTTTTGACAATCTCTTAAGCAATGGCGGACTTATCCCTATCCTTTGCCACGGAATCCGCCTTGTCTGAAGCCACTCACTTACCGTTATAAAAAACTTTTATTGGATTTATAGTTAGCTTGAAGCAAAAATTCAATTATATTTCATAAATGCCTCTATGATATTAATATAATATTTACCCACAATCACATCATTAAAAATGCAATTTCGTATATTATATATGTATGTATATTAATTAAATAATTAAATTAAGTTTGAGGGACATACATTTACATCCTAGCAAAATTATACACTAATAACTACAAGTAAATATATCGATATCGAGATGTTGAGTCATATTTGTGTTTTGGAAAACAACTACATAAATTAACGTATATCTTTAGGGCTTCAACTGATACTTGTATTCCTGTTGATCGACATGACGTAAGTATAAAGGGTTTTCTAATTGCCCAGTCTACTTGACTTGAATTTTTCTTTTTAACAGCAGTCCATTTTGTAATATTGCCATGTATTCTATAGCTTTAATCGCATACAGTTTACAACATTTCGCACATGGTCAAACTGAAGTGCTCAACGATTCTGCAATATTTGATTTTTGTTTTCTTCTTTCGTTTTGTTTTTTTTTTTATTGAATTTCCGCCTTTATGATATAAAGCGAGTTAGTTAATTTTCGTGATTCTTTCTGTATGGATTAGTTCGTATTCTTTTCTAGCATTTTTTTTGTTTTTT